TTCTCTATATAGACATTTAGGGGATCTACCCCGTTTGTATAAGACTTTGGCCATTCATTTGCATATTTCACGCCCATAATATGGGCTTTAAAAGCCAGGACCAGCTGTATCAGGACGTGATCTGAGGAAGCCTTTTTCGGGCGAAACGCGTCATCACGTTCACATACGACGTCATCACGTTATCACGTGACCGCATGGAGCTCCGAACCCGGAAGTGCCTTGTATAGTGCCGCAAGCTGCAGAGACCGTGAATTTTGGTGTGTTCATTTTTTCTAAGTATTGAATGGGACACTGGCCTTCTATGGGGCAAAGGGAGTTTTTTTATTGGAAGAAATAAAGATCGTTTTATTCAGCTGGCGTCCTGCTTTTTAATACCATCAAATCCCTATGCTGTGGATTACATGCTGGAAAAGTTAGAGCAGACTTTTACTGCTCTTTCCTTGTGAGTTTTATTCCATTTCTCTTGGCTGTTTTATATAATTTTAAACAGTATTATGCTATATGCTTTTTCTTTTTTATGTACTATATCTCCTACTTTGGAATAACCAAATGCAATCTATATTGAGACATATTTTCCTGCTGTAAGTTACCATTTGTATTTTTATCACTATTCACTTGCTATTTTTGCACATTTGTTATACTGAGTGTGATTTTATCGAATAGACACTTCTTATTGCATGATTTTTTGCACTTGTTGCACTTTAAATTTTAAAGGTACAGCGCACCTTTTTTGTTTTAAATCCTGTGGATATACATATGATTTACTCAAAAGTTTAAATTAAAGTTCATGTTACTTACAGTAGTAATGCTAGTGGCTGATCCAGAGCCTGATCTCGGGAGAGGCAGTTGTAGATTATTTAAAGAAATAGTCCATGCACAATAACCATTACAGCTCTGTGCAGTGGTTATTGTGCCAGGAGTGCCGAGACCCCCTCCCAGAGTAAGTAGTCAAACCATTGGGATATGGCTGTAGTAGGGCATAGGAGCAGTGGTGTGTGAGTGGTGCAATGTGTGAGGGGTGCAGTGTGTGAAAGGTTCAGTGTGTGTGTGAATTTGTAGGATGTGTGGGGCAATGTGTGTATGGGGGCTAAGTATGTGTGTGTGTGTGAGGGGCAGTGTGTGAATGTGTATGGTGTGTGTATGAGGGCTGTGAATGTGTGTGTGGGGCAATGTGTGTGAATGGGGGGCTGTGTATGTGGGGCAATGTGTGTATGAGGGGCAGTGTATATGTGTGGGGGCAGTGTATGTGTGTAGGTGGGCAGTGTGTGTATGGGGGCAGTGTATGTGTGTGTGTGTGGCTGTGTATGTATGGGGGCAGTGTGTGTGGGGGGACAGTGTATGTGTGTGTGAGGCAGTGTATGTGTGTGTGAGGCAGTGTGTGTGTGTGTGGGGGCTGTATGTGTGTGAATGGGGGCAGTGTATGAATGGGGGCAATGAGTGTATGTGGGGAAATGTGTGTATGGGGGGCATTGTAAGTGTGTGTATGGGGAGCACTGTATGTGGGCAGTGTGTGTATGGGGGGCAGCGTATGTGTGTGGCTGTGTTTGTGTGTGGGGGCAGTGTATATGTGTGTGGCTGTGTTTGTGGGCAGTGTGTGTGTGTGTGTGTGTGTGTGGAGGCAGTGTATGAATGTGTGGTGAGTAGGGTTGGAGGCTTTTTCATATTTTTTTTTTTTAAATAAAAATAAATATTCATTATATCTCCCCTCACTTCTTACCTTTACTGGGAGGAGGGGGGACATTTCTCCATCCCTAGTGGTCCGGTGTTGAATCCCTGGTGGTCCTGGTGGTGAGAGTGAACTCTAGCCCGGCAACGCTCTGTGCTCACGAGAGTAAGACCCGAGGAGCTGCAGGCTGAGCTCCTGGGTCCTCTCTCTCTCCCCTGCCGACTGCCTGCACGGTGCCTGCCGACCAGGGAGAGAGATCTCTGATCTCCCCTCCGGTCTGTGAAGGCACATTGCAGGGCTGGCACTTGGACAGTGCCAGTCCTGCATTAGCTGGCAGGGGAGAATCTTAGGGAGGGGGACAATTGCTCCGTTGCCCTCCCCAGGAGCCGCCAATACTAATGCCACTGTCTGAAGTGTCTGCTCTGCTCACTCAGTCCCTCTGCAAATTGCAATCCCAGGTAGGTAAGGTGTAGCCGCACTGTTCACACCACTCACTCCCTCTGCAAAATGCACTCTCAGGTAGGTAAGGTTTCAGACCTTACATGTCACTGCACTGTAAGCTGTCTACAGTCTCCGGTAAGTAAGGCTCCTCTCTGACTGCTTGCTCTGCCCCCTCTACTTACTCTGCTCCCCCTTACTTAAAGTAACTTGCTCTGCGCCCTGCACCCCCTTACTTGCTCAACACCCCTTTTCTAGCTCAGCCCCTCCTTAATTGCTCCTCCCCCCTTATTTGCTCAGACCCCCCTTACTTGCTCACCCCCCTTTCTTTGCTCAGCACCCCCCCATATATGCTTAGCCACCCGTTACTTGCTCACCCCCACCTTACTTGCTCACCCTTATATGCTCAGGTTCCCTTTGCTTGCTCTGTCTTCTTCTCAGTGCTCTTGCTCTGCTCTCTGTTCTCTGCTGCTTACGCTCCAGATGACATGATGGCCAGGCTGTTTAAAATTGGTTAACATGTCAGCTATTTGAAATAATATACTTTATCTATATCCAATGCTTAGTGAATATACCCCTAGACAAGAGTTATAAAACATTGTGTAACAAGTTATAGGTGTTATATCCTGTATGTTTCTGTCCGTCTGCCTTATTTCCTGTTTTTCTCCCTTTGATCATAACTGCATAGTAATGTGTAATTTAGAACTTAGTAGTAAATATCTTTAATTCGTAGTGCGCATGCATATATTAGTTTGAAGTGGGTAGTTATAGTGAAATTTAGCTTTGAGCAAGGCCCGAATATGAAGATACACCTGTAAGCTTGCTATAGGTTAAGATGTTACGATAAGATAGATGATTAAGATTGGATAATGCTTGTAACGACCACCCCTGTTTCCGGCTGTATAAAACCTGTTACACAGCTCATTAAAGGCTCAGAAGTCACTTTGAACCTTGTCTTGTATCATTCATTGGGGGCTCCTCACCAGCTGGATTGGGGACAAGGAGAAATACAGAGAGTTGCAAATTGATACAAAATTTCTGACAGAGAAAATTCCTCACTATCAGCCTCTAAGGTGTGGCCCCACACCGTGCGCTGCAATGTGCGCTCCCGCTCCGCTCCCTCCCTCACTCTCCCTCTCTATGGTCTGAGGTCTGCACCACACAGTGGGGCCGGTGAGCAAGCAGCCGAGGCGCCTGAAACAACTAAAATCATCAGGGAAGTTCTGACAGAGAGGTGAGACTCTTACCTCGCGGCTCGCTCGCTGATAATAAAAACAGTGGCGCTGGCTGGCTCAGCCGGGCCATATAACTTTGATTTAAATTGTGAGGTGTCAGTATATTTATATCGGCAGACATTTTGTGCTAAGACAGAAATGAATAGTATATATTGCCAGTCACACTCAAAACAGAGGTGACTCCATATTGGAATTTCCAGGCAAAGGAAGACACAAAATTTCTCTCTGTAACTTAATTCCTTTGAGTCTGAACTAAGGAATGCGTTATGTAAACAAGACAAGTGATAAGGAATGAAGCCTCACAGCAAGAATGGGGGTGGAATATTAATCCAGAAACACACATATACATATATACATACATATATATATACACATATATATACACATATATGTATATGTGTGTTTCTGGATTAATATACGCACACACACACACACACACACACACACATATATATATATACACACATACATACACACACATACACACACAATACACTTATTTACTATTGTATTAAACACATATAATTAGTATCATGTTAATAATATAGACTATTCATTGATCAATATCAATGAAAAATATCATATTATTTAATAAATGGTAGTGGAATAGAAATAATCTTACACACAGCTTCACCAAAGAACCAGACACAAGAAAGCCAGACACTAGTGACGGATAACACCTAGTAATTAATTTTACTTTTGGAATCTTACAACGTCCCATTGTAAGTAAAAGGGTGAAATTAAGGTTAGGAGGTATCAATTCTAGAATTATGATTCAAATTACAGACACAAAGTCTGGGATAAGACTGGAAAAATCAAATAAATTGCTTTGATGTGACATGTCCTGCGATTTACAGCAGGCCATATAGATAAGCCAAAATTACGTCGAAATCATCATCAAATGAAATTAACTCTTTCCAGGACCAGAAATGTTGATGATTTAATTGCACCATCTACTGACCAAAAACTAAATACTAGATAAGGTAGACACACCTCCAGTTCCCTATTCGTCCGATCAACTAATGACGTGCAGAGAGTTTGGCCCTTTAAAAAGTAAGAACAAAGGAAAGACAGAGATTCATGGCACATATTGAGGAGACACTCTGGGACTGACACTCAAATCTGACATTCAAAGACTTGTACTTTATGAACACATTCAAACTCTCTTGAAACAACTTAAGAAACAATTTCCTGGACACCCATTACTTTCTGGAGATAAATGGTTCTGGCATACTTAGTGTAATACACAGAGGAGAGGGAGTCTGACTAACACTGTGCCGCTCAAACTGGAAAAAAATAGGAATTCACTAGAACCTATATAGAAAATAACAAAGGAAACACTTCAAAATATTTTATAAAGTCCAGGAGCTGACTAGTGGTAATGGCTCAAATCTGATAACTAAAGGTGGATGTTAAGCTAAAATCACAATGGTGAAATGCAGAATGAAATAAAATATCTTATATAGGTACTGTGCCTTTAAGAAATGAGATAAAAAATCAGATATACTGATGTAAATCACTAGAAGTGGATGTTATGCTAAAATAACAATGGTGTAGTGCAGAAATAAAAAAATAATACATTGAAATGTCTTATATAGGTACTGTGCCTTTAAGAAATGTGATAAGAGTCAGAGATACACAGCAAATAGAAGATAAAAATAAAAGAGAATCTGATAAGATTAAAAGGGAGAAAAAGATGTGGATGGATACAAATATATAAAATGGATGAATAAAACAAATTGGTTTAAATTGAAAAGTGATAATAGATAATGATGGTTCTGTATGTAGCTAACATATGTGAGGTGCGAGTATCTCTATCTCTGATCCAATACAGGGTAGATGATACTTGCTCCAAATAATATACTTTGTAATAGACAAAGATAAAAATAAATAAATGAACTAGAAAAGCTACAATTTCTGGGGAAATTGTGTGAAGTGTTCTTGCCTCCACCAGTAGTCTAGCACATTCAATAGCAAAGCTCCCACTCTAGCTTTGCCATTCATTCCTATGGGACAAATTGCGCCACAAGAACGACGATATTCCGTGAACCATTCGGCGAAACGTTCCACAAAGTAATAGCAATCCGATCGGGAACAATCTGCACGCTTTGGTAAATTTTGGTCTATGTAGTGTAAAAACTGTGGGAGGAGTTAGGGTGGCAAATTTTGCTATAATAATAATAATAATAATATATATGTGAGATAACAGTAAGTGGTCTTGCTATGCAAGAACACTTAACTAGAAAAGCTACAATTTCTGGTGAAATTGTGCGAAGTGTTCTTGCCTCCACCTGTAGTCTACAACTGGAGTGGGCGGAGTAACTGTTATCATTTACATAGCACATTTAATTGCAACGTTGTTGCACAGTTACATTAAACCATACATTTATAAAAACATTAGCAGGTGTTCAAAAGGCCCCGTCTATGACATCACTTGCTGCTGCAGCTTGACACAGGTCAGAGTATTTTGGTGGTTGCCATCTTCAAACGGTCGTATCTTAAAAACTATAACTCCTACAGTGAAGAGCTTTATATTGTGAGAATCACAAGACCCAGACCTACATTTTGATGCATAGTATGTCTCTGAAGTATTAAAATTGAAGGCACAGTCGCAGTTTAGAAATTCAAATTTGAGCTTTGCAGAGTGAAGTTTCAATGAATGTCAATGGACGGCGTTGGTTGCAAACAAATGGTCATATTGTGAAAACTATCAGGACCTATGACATGTTTAGTGGCCGCAGGGATAGCTGAACGTTTTGATATAAGATTTGTGTAGGTGGGCCTGAAAATGAGGGAGTGGTGGCAGTTTAGAAATCATGTCCTGATTTTTCAGCTTTTGGCAGCTCCCACTCTAGCTTTGCCATTCATTCCTATGGGACAAATTTCGCCACAAGAACGACGATATTCCGTGAACCATTCGGCTAAACGTTCCACAAAGTAATAGCAATCCGATCGGGAACAATCTGCACGTTTTGGTAAATTTTTGTCTATGTAGTGTAAAAACTGTGGGAGGAGTTAGGGTGGCAAATTTTGCTATAATAATAATAATAATAATATATATGTGAGATAACATTAAGTGGTCTTGCTATGCAAGAACACTTAATAATAATAATAATATATATGTGAGATAACATTAAGTGGTCTTGCTATGCAAGAACACTTAATAATGTAGCAGTAGCAGTGCAGTGTAAGAAACTGTATGCAAAGGCAATACAAACAATGTATCGCTGTAGATATAAAGCAATGGTGAAAACTGGGTATAAATATAAAAAAAAACACCTACACACACTTATTAGACAAAAATGTTAAAAATATCAAAAATACAGATCAGGGATAGTTCATAGAATTGTTACCAGTCTTTTGAAAGTCAGAAGTATGCAGAGACCTTCGGATTAGGCTAGGATGGATGTAGATTGTGCTGACAGGTAGTGATGTCGCGAACATAAGATTTTCGCAAATGTTCGCGAACCCGCGAACCGGGCGAACCGCCATAGACTTCAATAGACAGGCGAATTTTAAAACACACAAGATGTTTCAAGGGGACTAACACCTGGACTGTGGCATGCAAACTCCGATCCGCGGCTGCATCTTGCAGCCGCTTAGTAGATAACTCCCTAATTCCCACGGTATTAGGGAGTTATCTACTAAAAGGCTAAAAGACCTAAATTGGTCTTTCAGCCACATTTACTAATACGAAGTAAAGATTACTTAGTATTAGTAAATGATCTGCCCCTACTCGCTATGCAGCGAGTAGGGGCATGTCTAGTAAGCAGTGAGCAGCCAGTGGCTGCTCACTGTAAAAAAAACAAAACAAAACAAAAACTATTGGCTCCCACCCCTGTGCAATGGGTGGGGGCCATTAATTACAATGGGGGGGAGGCCCTACTGTCCTCCCCCCCGGCCCCCACCCCTGCGCGGTGGGTGGGGGCCATAAAAATAATGAGGGGGGGGACCTACTGTCCTCCCCCCTGGCCCCCACCCCTGAGCTTTATAAGCCTTCCCCCGCCCTGCAGAGCTCAGTCTGCGCGGAGCCCTCACCGGGTGAAGATGGATTATTTCTTTTTTGCGCTCGTTTTTTTTTTGTTTTTTTTAATTGCGTCGGTTATTATGGTTTTTTATTTGGCCTTTTTTGGGGCTGAAAAAAGAAGATTTAGAAGAAAGAAAACATCGAATGGTAAGTTGTTTTTTTTTCATTTTACAGGTACTTAGTTAAAGGTGCCCCCCCTTATTATTTTTAGGGTGAGGGGGGTAGGTAGGGGGATAATGTTTTTTTTGGGGGGGAGGGGGTGACTGGGGGTTTGGGGACCCCTAGTCACCTGGGGGGTGGGGGGGACATTTTTTTTAGGGCCCCCACCCGCCGCTCAGGGGTGGGGGCCGGGGGGGAGGACATTAGGTCCCCCCCCCTTTTTAGTATTTAGGGCCCCCACCCGCCGCTCAGGGGTGGGGGCCGGGGGGGAGGACATTAGGTCCCTCCCCCCCTT